ATGGCATTTCATATAAAAGAAGTCAGTTTCTTTCTTTCTTTTTGTTCATTAAAAGAAAGTTTTATATTTTCAATTGTAATATGTGATTATATTCTGACTGGCAAGACAAACCGCCGCTTCCTTTGCCTCGAGTATACGCGCACAGTTTCACGATATGAAGATGAAAAACGTTTTTATTGTCAATTCTCATAACGCGGACGACGTGTCTCAGTACCCGAGAAAACCATACGAGCAGGTTGCTATTTTTGTAGCGAAAGGTTTTATTAATCGCAGTCTACATTGTCTACATAAGCTCTTAACATGTCTTAAAACCTTCTTATTTAAACAAACTTATGATCTGTAACTCTATTGTAACTTTCTTTATCTTAATTTTTACCTTTTTATTTGCGCTTAGAAAAAATTACATAAGCGCTTTATAAGTTTAGATTATTATTATTTATTATTACAGCACATACATTAGAGCGCTTGTCACATGAAGCTAGTGGGCATGCGCACTATCTGTTTTTCAAAAATCCTAGCGTYCGTCATAGTAAACTTCATTGATATCAATAAAAATACACTTTTGTTTACCAAGTTTAAACATAAATTTAAACGACTGGCTTTAAAAGAGAATCTTTGACATTARGACAAACAATTGTTAAGAGTTTCATGATCGTGTCAGTAACGTGGTAGCGATATCTTATGTCACGGTACTAACTGAATAAATAACTTGTAACCGTTAGAAATCAGTAATATTATGAATATACAATTTAGCCTCACGGTAAAAAGTAGTTTTTAACTGAATCAATAATGCTATGTTTTCATTTCCTTGGAGGGTAGAATCGGACCGGATGCATAGTGRATATTCAGGTATTACATTTTACAATCGTCCATATGCTTTGTCAAATCGTACGTTTCCTTCGGGGGTTTCTCTCTTTTTCATTTATGATTCTTTATTTCTCATCATCTTTTTCCTATTCTTTCTTTTCTCCCCTGTTCTTCTCTTGTCTGTTAAAAGTCATTTTTCAGTTTCTCACTTTTATTTTTTTCTCTGTCTATTTTTCACAAGTTTTCAAATATCTTTTTGGATCTTTTGTTGTCACTTTCAGCCTCCAGGTTCTCATATACGATGGAGACATGATGACGGCTACTGTCAAAAGCGATGCAAAAAAGTTGACCCCTTAACATGTATGATAAATATTATAGGACTTCATATCAGTCAAAAGTTAAGTTAAAAAAAAACCCTGTTCAAACAAAGCATACATACAACTGATAACGGTCATTGTTTGGAAAATAGACTTTGATTTACTGAACTATCGAAAGTAATAACATAACACTTAGTTTTTGCACGTAAGACTTGTCGTCTTGAAATGTTTTCGTAGAGAATTCAAAACAGAAACGTGGCGCAGAAGCCAGAGAGAGAGAGAGTAGTGTTTGGTTAAAACAGGACACGGGAAAATCACGTCTCAGAATAGCTCAATAATAACAGGAAAAACATTACTAAAAGGCATTCAAGTTAACATCTTACTCACTGAAAAAATAAACGCGAAACACTCTTAAGATAATCCAAGCAAAGTTATCTTCAGTACAGAGTAATTGAATTTCAGTTAGRTTAATTGAAGTGATTATTAATTTTCAGCTAAAATCCGCTTGAACAAAGGGCACAATAATCAGCTGACTTATTACAAGTTATAACACCAATTGAAAATGCGTTGAGCTTGACTAAATAGACTAACTTGGCGCGTGTTGTACTTGTTGCCTGTGAGTCTAGTTATTGCATGAAAATCAAACTGTTACTAAAATATTAACAACTAAAAGTGAGCTGCGAACMTCACAATTACTGTGTCAACACCACTAAAACATTCTTATTATTATATCCCTTAGCTGTATTTTTTGTAACTTCTCAAGTTATTTCGCTCTATAAAACTATTCATGTTATGACCACGTTTCGCACGACATTCGRCCTGTTTTGCGGTTAAATTGTGTGTAAAACAATAAAGTCAGTTGAAGTTATTATACTGCTAACAGCACTTGTGAACCATACTTAAATCAAGAAAGCTTTACCTGTTTAATAGCTCTTCTTATCGGTTGTRTGTTGTTCTTTTRCCGTTCKATGTTGTTGTGTTGCATGCAACAGCGCTCTTTGCAACTGTTTTCGCCAGTAGCAACAAGAGCAAGCAACAGCARCATCATCACGCTAAACACTGCTGTCCTCATGGCCGTTATACCAGCTTATCACATGGAGAAAAATARAGAAAACCTTTTAGAGATSTAGCTCGTGTAGAAGTGAAACGCTTTCAGTTAAAACATTACGTCCCACTAAACGCTAACCGGACATTGTTGCTCTTGAGCATGAAATTTCTTGATATGTGTAACAAGACACCGTGGATTTTATTGATAGAGTGTCATCGGACCCTTAGGGGTAGGGTGAGGCAAAATGTTTCTCCTGAATGCAAATGTATYKATGYATGYATGAATGGATAGYCTGATAAACGAARATTTGGATGAARGGGATGAATGAATCAATAGATGAGATAAAATAGTGGAATTTCGATCATTTCCATTTCTTTTTTCGATCATTTTCTTTTTCTTTTTTTCTCTGTTTCCCTTTTAATGCTTGTTCTTAACTCCTCCTCCCCTCCCAGTTTAAATTTAGTCACGTAGTTTCGATCTTTGTAGAGATTGAGATAAGCCATAAATCCTTTCGATATAAAATACWTGTCGTGTTTTTGTCTGTTGTTGTTAATGGTCTGCATGATGGTTAATYACCCCTTTGTTTGAACAGCTGAAGTGATATTAGACACAGGAATCCCGACAATAGAAAATTAGTTCATAATGCTACAAAGTGTTTTTTAGGTAAACAGTGTGTAAAAACCGCCAAAAAGACAAKGAAAACTTCAAAATAAAGAGTAATAAAGGTTATTCACGAGCTTGTGAAATCTAAAACTGTGAAACTAACCGAAACAGCGGGTTTCTAAGGTGATTAAATGTCTAATATCTATTTTCACGGCTTTATAACTTCATGACTAACACGTGAAACAAAGCATTGCATTCTATATATAGGCTATGACGTCATTAGACACTTCATATGCATGCTACTCATGTGAAAGRTCTGTGGAAGTGACCTTTAAACATGTTGTGTCTCTAAATATTGCACACATTATAGGTTAATTTCAAAATCTTCCTTTTCCTGGTCTACCAAGAGCTTTAAGTACAGGTAGAAAATGACTTGTGATCAGTCTATTCTGTCGCTTTAATCAATGGTGTATATATAGTTCAACTGTGCTCCACCTGAACCATTGCTGGATGAATCACTAGGACCATGTTGTGACAAGTTAAATTGATCACAGCGCATTCAAGCAAGCAAGGAAACATAAAAGAGACAAACAACTGTCTGACCGACAATGTACCGACCGTTGCTAGAAGGTCTTGACTAGTACACTGTTTCAATACTTTATGAAGCTCTACTGGAATAGTAAGTGCCAAAAGGATTTCACAAGGTAAAGGAGAGCATTTCATCGTTGATAATGGGTCTGTTTTTGTGTCGATGTGGCCAAGCCGACGACGCTGCTGACTATGAGCCTGTTGGTACATACGATGGTGAAACATCATTGGGGATGAGACATGGTAAAGGAGTTTACTATTATAAGAATGGTGATATATACGATGGACAATGGAAACGAGGCAGGAAACATGGATATGGCGTGTATACCTACCTAGATGGAACACAGTGAGTATTACATCTSAAATAAAACACTCGCGTGGGATCATTATATCKCACGCGTGGAACACGAACGAGGTGTAATTCTTACGATTGCACCTATCAAGTGTTCTGCCTGTTACTGTCAAGTGATTTGTAGCCACAGTTTGTACATGCTAGCATCTCGTACAGTTAGGTCTATAAACACCTATTCAGTTTAAATACTGCATAGTGCTTTTCCAAGACCGCAATGCATTGTTGCTATTAAACCCCAAGTGACGCTCTGTGACCTGCCTTGTAGTCTTTTATGACTGATGGCAATATTTTTTAAAAAGTAGCTCTAAATCCCTTCAAAATCACACACAGCAATGTTAAATAACATCAGCAACACATGAGATTAAGGTAAAATGTATTTTATTTAAAAAAAACAATTTTGAATCAAATGCTGTGCTTGGGTTGCCTGTGATGTTAGCTGCATTGTAACAGACTCGTACCCAGTCGCTTCTCTCGAGCGATGCGCAATGCATGAAGGGAAGGGCGAAGGAAAAGCGCGAAGCGTCGTTACTTTTTCTCTCTCCTTCCCATCAACCCCTTCATGCGTAAAGTAAAGCGTAACGACTGGGTACYAGTCTGGCATTGTATTACAAACATATTGTCAMTACCCATAATCCTTCACACAAGTTTTCCATATTGAACAGGAAGAGAGGTTTCTTRGTTGAAGACGAGTTCATCGGAGTCAATCCCGGCAGTCACTTCGCAGAGCCAAAGGAGGAAGAAGACGATCCAGCAAGACCTCTTGACCCATTGTGCAAACTCAGCCCAAGGTATGCCCCAYRTCCCATGGGATGGAGTCWTTTGCACAAAGATACAGTGACAATGACCATGAAAGACTYGGTTATGTAGTGCGGGGAACGCTGTGGTAGACATGATATAAGGTCCCAGTCCTCATCTTCCACATTTGAATGTTGACCCATTTTCATTCTTTTTCTTCTCTTTTCATTTCTTGTGATCGCCATGATATGAAGTTACAAAAGGTCGGGAAGAAGATGGGAGAGGGGGAAAAACTTAAGGGAGAGGGCGCGTAACAATCAATTTGAACTTTGTAAYATCAGCAAAACATTTGTTGTGTAGTACGATTGTTCTATGATATGACATTGAAGAGTAAAAAAACGACTTTACTTTCCTAATTAGGGAAATCGCCGAAAGAGAAGCCAAATTGAGACTGGCCCAGCAAAGACTTGAGGAGGGTGAGAAAAGACGGGCAGCGAGAAAAAAGAAAAGAGAAGAAGTCAGGCAAAAATATAACCTTAAATAGCGACAGTACGATACAATGCCGACATAAGCACGGTAGACCAGGGAACTATGGACGAAATTCGTCCGAGCATAATCGAAGYTCGGACGAGGCTGTTTCAAATGCTTCGCGAATATTAACGAGAGTTTTCCGAAAGTCACCGAAAGCTTTCCGAGGTTAAACAAGTGAATGAACGGTTGGAAGAAGATTGCTTCAAGTAAAATCAAGATATTAATGAAAGTACACGAGATATTTACGAAATTATCCAGGCAAATTACATGACAAGGAGTCCAGAATCCGACAAAAGTTTGCCTCTTGGATCCGGAATCAGACACTTGGAATCTGGAATCCGAGGCCGCAATGATAACAGAATCCTATCAACCAAGAGGAAACCGAAAGACAAATTAGTGATTTTAAAATTGAAAAAGTTTCTTAATTGTCGCAGCGTCGCATTTATGGAATGGACCGATGAAGCATCACAGGTCACTTGAAATTAAAACTAAAAAACTCATCTGTTAAATGAAGCCTTTAATGAAGTTGTTTTAATCATTTTATTTATTATTCAAGCTACGTTTCTATTGAAGATATCTTGAAAGCAGCTTGGACTCTAGGATGGGCGCTACTATAAATATTATATTAAAATTATTGTAAACGATCGGGTCACTTACGACAAAAAAAGCTAGGACATGCTTTGCATTCTCAATCCAATATGGGAAATCCTTCATGGAACCAGAATCCAGCAACTTAGAAATCTAAATATTTTTACAAGAATGGCAATGCAGTCTATCGGAAACTGACTGCAAATATTCGAAATCTGAAATATCAACTTAATTTATTAATCGATCGAAGGTTTCAAAAACACTTTACACGAAAGCGGTKTTTAGAGTTGTCGGTACCATGACGCCCATCCAGTGCACAAACTATGCCATTAATAACCGCACACACATAGGGATTCATTGTAGACAATCTAGA